CACGCCCTTGGCCTTCCAGTTGTCTAGAAGTGATTCCAACTGTGTATATTATGTTGAATAACACTGGTAAGAGCGATGATCCCTGTGGCAAAAGCCGTGACTCGAGGCGTCATGTAGCCCGTTTGGCGCAGCTGAGCGCTACTGTTCGCTGTCATTGGCCTAACAAGTATAGATGTAGATCTACATGGACGACGGCGATTTATAGGCCTAGTATTTAAACGAATATTATTATCTTAACGAAAGCTAACTGTTCAAAGTCTTTGACCGAGTGTCTGAATGCCATTACTGTGAACATAATAATGAAATGGTAAAGGTTAAACGCCCCTATCAACATTATTAGGTGTCTAGGATGGGTCGGGTGGGGCGCTATATCTGCACGTGTGGTAATTTGGCTGTACTACGTGAAATATCCAAATGTGTCATTTCATTTGTTGTATGACTAGAAATGTTGATAAGATCACCTCTATGTGTTTACAAAAATATCAAATAAAACCTCAAACCAACCCAAACTACAGGACAAGACTTTTTTTTTCAGTGTTGTCTAAGAAACCTTCGGTTTTGTTTGATGTCCAACAAGTATAAGGCCTTGGTATGGCACACGTTGGTCTCGGGGTTCTAATCTGGATCGAGGAACGGGGAGTGTCATGGGTTCGATTCTTAGCTGAATTAAAATAAGATTTAATATTTGGTCACTTAATTTGCATCTTATTGTCTGGGGCATGGTTGAAAGACTAGCTGGGGTTAATTTCTTACTGTGCATTTAACTTTCATCATTTTTTACTCTCGAGTTCCTGTAAAATAAACAATGAAAAAGTATAAGCTACATAGACGGAAAATTCACATTTGAATTCAAAGATTGTGAATCTCTACTTTCCCTATCAGCATTGTTCGGTGCTAGTCAGTTGACACAGCATGGTAAAATGGATGGTAGTCAACTGGCATGACCTCTTACACCTTTTGGAGATGTTAGTATTTCTCCTTTTCTATTTTCCTGGACCTATTGTAGACTGGTCAAACAGCTCCAACTTTGGTTGGTTTGACCTGTGGGCCGAATTTGATGTGATTCAGCTTAATGACTCACCAGGATACACCTCTAGTCCCTCGCCGAAGAGTCCTCGATTTTCCTGCATGTTTTTGTTGTTGTTGTTGTTTTTTTGTAAGTGTTTTACGGCGCTCGCAACTGCATAAGGTCATATGAGCGCGAGGGACACACCTAATA